TGTATAGACCCCATTTTGTGACTTGATCTAATAGATTAGCCTAAAATGACTCATTAAACTATTGGGCCAAAATAAATCAAAATAAGGATTTTTTTCACTTTTAGCCTGTGCCATAAACTATTTACATTCGATCGAAAAAGTGTATAAAATTTGTATAGTTTTTGCATAAAACATACATAATACAACAGATACACAAAAAAATAATATTTTTTAGCTATTATTTTAAGAGCGACTAGTGTAATTTTCCCTCAAAATAATGTAACATGTCAAATCAAAATGCGAGCGGTTTGTAACTTCTAGACTATTTTCTTTGCCACAGATTATTAATAGTCAATAACTCCTTTTTTTCAATTTCATTTATTTGTATACTTTAACTTTTGTTGGTACATTGTTCTCTATATTCCATTCAATTTCGACATTTTTATCCCTTCACGTGTATTGCTGAACCATGCTTCTCTCCATTAGACAGTTTGCAAAGAATTTAATTAATACCCATTGTCATTATAAAGATTTTTTTATATCATCAAGTCATTTTTATCTGTTAGTTGGATAAATGAGTCAAATTTGCCATATGTGATGGTTTAACTTTGTCTCTGTTAATAATTAGGGCCAAAGAATTCCTACCGTTAGCAAAAGTTCTCACTTATACGCTTATTGAGTAAAAATAGCACAGGCTAGCCAGTTTATGGATTGGTCATTCAAAAATAGTCAGTATTTGCAAAGTCATTAAAAAATAACCATTATTTTGCTGCAACACAGAAAGTTCCAGCATAATATACTGGAGATCGTGCACCTGTGTATGAACTTCCAGCATATTATGCTGGAACTCCAACACGCAGAAAGTTTCAGTATATTATGCTGGACCGGTATATTATACTGGAACTCCAGTATATTATACTGGAATTTCATTATATTATATTGGCGTACTTTTTCGGATTTTAAACAACGTTTTCGTTCAAATTTATCTTTACATGAAAAATGGCTAAATTTCGATTACTTTTGAAACAATGGCTATTTTTGAATGACCATTTGTAAATCTGGCTATTTTTGAATTTCTCCCGCTTATTGACTAGAAGTTAAATACGTAATAAATTAGATTACTATGAATTAAAGATTATTATAAATTATTAAATAAAACTACTAATTAAAGACCGTATAAATTAAAGAAAGAACTTATGTTTTCGTTTAACCATATGATATTTGTGGCACATTAGCCCAACTAACTCCAATTCCCACAAAATATATAGAATTCACTAAATAGTTTCTTATAAAAAAAAGTTTCATTCTCACACTTGTACCCGAAACTTAAAATACTATTCATTCGCATAGATAGAATTTCAAGTTTAATAAGTGTTGCCTTTCACATATTCATGATACTTTTGACCTTAAAGATTTGCCCATAAATAAATTAATAGTAACAAAGAATTGGAGGTCTAACCAATATTAACAAAGAGTTAGAAGAGCCAACAATTACGTTCGAATCAAAACTCATTTTTTATGCAAAGCCATTAACTATTATAGGACAAAACTAAAAGCACGTGCAAACATAAGCTAAAGCAAAAGAACTTGGTTGATAAGGTCAATAAAGAAATATAATAATCAAAAGAAATAATACCTTTCGTGATGTTCGCAGAATCGCAAAGTTTGCATAATTTTGTTATGGAGTAATACTTCTCAAAAGGTTTATGATAGAAAATATGGAATAGTGACTCCTTTTATATTAGTGTTTGACTCCTTTTTTCTAAAGGATTCAGATGAGTTTTTGGCGAAAAACGTCCTTTAACTATACCCGTAGCCTAAATTACATCCTTCACATATCATTGTAAATAGAAAACATCCTTATTATATCCCATAATTAACAAGTTGCATCCTTCTATTACTCTAAAGTTATAAAACTAAGGCGAAATGACTTCCTGGCCACTTAAACTTGTAGGGCTTTTGAAAGCCGATACACAAACTTTAGTCTTTCCCATTTAAACACTCAAACTCGTGAAACCTATAACTAATAAACACATTTGACCATTGACTATGCTTATGTGGCTTTAGCTTATCTTACGTGGACATAGTGCGTACAAGTCACATTCAAATAGCGCGTGTGTGCTGATTTCCATAATAGAAACACCCCCCCGGATCTCGTCTTCTACACACCACTCCTGTATCTTCGCACCATCCCCAACGACCAGAAACAAGGCTTCACCCATAACCCACAGCAACGACCAAACGAACCCAACCAGTCCCTCCTCCCCATCTACGCCTAACAGTGCCTTCCCCCCTCCCCTTCTTCATTAGAAGCTTTGAAGCTCTTCACTGCACAACAATGGTGGATTTATGCTCGAAAAAAATACCTCAAATAAACCAATGGTCTAGCTTCCTAAACATCACAATATCTCATACACCTACTAACCTTTGTCTCCTTCCCCATTAAAACTGCTGAAAAATACCAAAAATATATTATCCTTAAGAATCAAAATAGACAATTATTTTTCTTCATTAAAAGATTCTCTGCAAAAAATTAAAATGAATATCATCTTTAATTTTTTCTTGTTTGAGGGATTGTTCATGGCAAAATCACAGACTTAAATGGGTTTGATCTTGAAATGGAGAGAGAAAAGAGCGAACACAAAACACTTGAGATCTTGAACAAGATAATAGAAGATACGAAGTCCGTCAGGATCTTTACTGGTCTGCACATTCATCAGTGAACTAATCTTAGGTGTAGTGAATGATATGTGCTCATTCCCCATCACTATCTCAAGCTCCTGCCTCCTAATTCTATTAGTCGGTGAAGAAGAAAATAAGGAAAATAAAAGAAAAATTAGAAATTAATAAATTTATTCCAGCACAGCTGCCCTTGACGTGTAACAATCCTATTGGTCATTTGCTGACTGGATGGACACGTATGTGAATGTGAAATACACGCGCATAGGGTCAAGAGTCAAATGTGTTTATTAGTTAAGGGTTTCACGAGTTTGAGTGTTCAAATGGGAAAGTCCAAAATTTGTGTATCAGCTTTCAAAAGCCTTACAAGTTTAAGTGGCCAGGAAGCCATTACACCTAACGGAATAAAGCTATTCACATGAGTTGCACGTGATGTCCCACACCACCCAAAGCATTTCGTCGTTCTCCCCTTGCCCTACCTTGCCACTACAAAGAAATCCAAACTATCATCAGTCCTTTGCACAATATTTCTTTTCTGTTCTTTGCAACCGATTAAAGATGGTACAAGTAAATGGTAGTAACATCCAGTGATCCACCAATCAAATACAGTCAAAACGCACATGCAAGTTGAGTTCACGATAGCGAAGTCTGCAATCTCACCATTATAATACACTCAACAGTACATCAAATGAAGTAACTTACTACTACAACTATGGAGCTCTAAACGTTGGAAGATATAATTGTACTTACAAAAAGTAAATCTTAGTAATTGTGTACGCGTAAAATCGGGCATAAAGCTACCCCAATTTTCCGGTAAAGAAATGGGAGGATAGCCCGATCCAATATGACCTCGGATAAAGCCGAGGGCTCCTATGGATCTGAGCCCGGGAAGGATGAATGATGCGCTAAGAACCGGACACGGCCAAATATGGGAAGAATCGAGTTCGAGCAAAATAAAGAACCGAGACTAAAGGAAAGCCGGTTGGAAAGGACAAACAAGGGGCCGGAATATCTGCCCTTAACCGAATATTACGACGCAAATCTCGCCTGGTATCAACAGTGTATCACAGTTTACCAGAGAAAAAAAAGATTTTTACCATATTTAGACTTCTACTAAGATTGAAACTCACATACGGGGAGACCCTTTTTATTTTCAAGACCACAGTTGGAAAGCATATCAAAACATTAAAGTCAATTTTTGTTCTCTAGTTACTGTTCAAACTGTTCTTTCGTTGCTTATTTGCTTAATTGCAACCGAGCCCGTTTCCCGACTTAATCTAAACCAAAGTTCAGTGTTTGCCATAAAGTCAGGCTTAATCATCCATTGCGTTTGGTTTGATTGTTTTATATTCCTTTAATTCAATGATTTGCCATTCTTAGGTCATTCGTGTTAAATTAAATCACATATACTTTAAACCGCGTATAAATTCAATTGTTGTTCATTTTAAGGGTAAACACTAATGTAACTATATAATTGTAGTAGTAATTTTTTCATCATTATTAGGCCGAGAAATATTAACAATAATGGAAATGACAAAGCTTATGGAGTATGTTCCTATTCCGATCAAAAGAGAGTCATGAGAAGCCTAGTGACAAGATAATAAGTTGTATTGCATTCCATATATTTTGCAGCTAAGGCTTGACTGGTTGTCTCTGTCTTCTGAGTGATTGTAAGTTGTATTTGGTTTGGTACATACGACAATTACCTGGTTGCGTCGTTATCTCTTTTTGATTTCTTTGGTGCAAAGTAGTTTGATTTCCATTTTTATTTTTTTTAATTTGTTTGCAGACTGCTGTAATGCAAGCCCTTTCTGAGATATAGTTTTGACTTCTGAAAAGAAGAGAGGCTCAGTTAGCTTAGAAGACTTTGAAATTTGCAGACGGCAATGGTCGTTGAAGCAAACTTGGTATCTCACGTGAATAACTTTATTCCGTTAGTTTTATAACTTTTGAGCAACGGAAGGATGCAACTTATTAATTTTGGGATATAACAAGGATGTTTTCTGCTTGCAATGATATGTGAAGGATGTAGTTTAGGTTATGGGTAAAGTTAAAGGACGTTTTTCGCCAAAAACTCGATTCAGACAATATAATAAGTTCTCAAATTAAAATTAGTAATAGGAATAGATTCAAGACAATACAGGACAGTTGTCAAATATAGGAATTTTTAAGAAATATAATACATTAGTTATGGCCTTTTTTTGAGTTATTATGCTTAAATTCTTAATTAAGACAGTTTATTTTCAAGATTATTGGGTGTAATTTTCCTCATTTAAGTAAACGCCAAGTCAAACATTCACTAACGTGGAAAATGAACAGATACAATATCTTATCCTTATAGTATCCCCTCATAGGATTATGAGATGCTCATGGCCATTCAAAAGAAGCAGAGCCCGATTTTCAGCGTCGCTCTCCAATGGATGCTCTCTTCGTCAATTCCTCTCTCTCCCGCCTCAAACTCAAATTCTCCCCTCAATTCCCTCCCACCTTCTCTCATCAACCTTTTATCTGTCTAAAGAAACTCGGCAATAAGAACAATTTATCAGTATTTGCTACGCTTCAGAACCAGCAGCAACAAGCAGTCGAAGCAGCAGAAGACGAAGAACCGGTACTGTTTGAAGATTACGATGAGGATGAAACGTACGGAGAAGTTAACAAAATTATCGGCAGTCGAGCAATTGAACGTGGGAAAGGAATGGAGTACTTGATAGAGTGGAAAGACGAACATGCCCCAACGTGGGTCCCCTCTGATTACATTGCTAAAGATGTTGTGGCCGAGTACGAAACTCCTTGGTGGAATGCGGCTAAAAAGGCCGACGAATCCGCTCTTAGGGAACTCCTAGAAACTGACGACGACAGAGATGTGGACGCAGTAGATGAGGATGGACGTACGGCTTTGCTCTTTGTCTCGGGTCTGGGGTCCGAGCCGTGTGTCAAGCTGCTAGCTGAAGCCGGCGCTGACGTGGACTATCGCGATAGGAATGGCGGCTTGACTGCTCTGCATATGGCAGCCGGCTATGTTAAGCCGGGTGTCGCCAAGCTGTTAATTGACCTCGGGGCAGACCCCGAGGTCGAGGATTATAGAGGACAAACGCCTCTGAGCTTGGCGAGGATGATTTTGAATCAAACGCCTAAAGGAAATCCAATGCAATTCGCGAGGAGATTGGGGTTAGAGAATGTGGTTAGGATTTTGGAGGATGCGATTTTCGAGTATGCAACAGTGGAGGAAATATTGGAGAAGAGAGGGAAAGGCGAAAATGTGGAGTATTTAGTGAAGTGGAAGGATGGGGAGGATAACGAATGGGTCAAAGCATGGCTGATATCTGAAGATTTGGTGAGGGATTTTGAGGCTGGTTTGGAATATGCAGTAGCAGATTGTATTCTTGAGAAGAGAGAAGGTGAGGATGGGAAGGGAGAATACTTGGTTAAATGGACTGATATTGAGGAAGCTACGTGGGAACCCGAAGAAAATGTTGACCCCCTTCTTATAGAAGATTTTGAAAAGAGTCAACAGAATGTAGTAAGTTGAACCTTTTTCTATTCATGATTTCTCATTTGCCTTGTATCTTTTTGTGGTAATATAATGAAGCTCTTTATGTTTACTGCACTATAGTTATGGTACTTTATGCCCTTCTCAGGTTGTTTGTGAGGTTGAGGTTAATTTTATGGTTAATATTGTTTGATGGATTATTAAATTATCCAAAATCTTTTGTTTGTTTGATGGATTAGGTTATCGTATGAGATAATCATAGGGTTTAGATAACTCTCTCAAGCAACTGCTTGGTGCTTGAAGTTGGCTGTCATCTGTTTCTATGATTAATTCACATTTGTTTGTTCTTATCTGTTTAAGTTTTTTTTTTTTTTTTTTTTGCTGTTGATTATAGTAATGAAAATAATTTCACGGTCAAAGGAGTCCATTTTGGGCACTGAATTACTTTTGCACCAAGACTATTAATGCATCAAAAGATCTGGAGTTTCGTCTGTGCAAATTATGATATTGATGTTGTTACAGGTTACTTAACATTCTAATTCTGGTATCATAATTTTTGGAAATCATAGATCACCCTTTAGCGCTCCTAAGTTCTTAAATTATGCAAAATATATATATCATTGAAAATATCATGTTCAATTGGTGATAGTCTGATGTATTCTGTAGAGGTTGGATGCTTTTACTTCTTGAATTTCGTCATCTATGTGGAATGAATGAGACAGCTTCTAAAGGGCCATGACGGTTCTAGGAGATAGCATTATGTGAAAAGGTGATGGTAGTTCTGACTTCTGAGTCACTTTTAGATTTAGTATGCTGCGTGAAGGTGAGGTTTTAGCAGTGTTGTATTTTGTTGACTTTAGGATTTGAGGTGTGGCTGATAGCTCAATTTAACCAATCTAACATTGGTTCCTATGTCATGTTTAGTGTTTTAGTAGGTGTAATTCATAAAAAGGTAGAGGCGTCTGTAAATTGTTGAACTTTGTGTTTTTTCTCTTTCACTGGTTGATCACCTCGAAGGGGATAAAAAGTTGAAGTTTATTAAACTTAAGGCCGATTTATTTCACGATATGCATGAACGATGTGTTTTGTTCCTGAAGTTATCCAAAGCAGAAGCAATTTCATGTAGTATGGATGATGTTTTCTGTTGTTTCCTGTTGACATCAAATCCATGGAAGGCACTATAGTAGTGAAAATCCTGGTTTGTGATTTCTCAGGATTCAGCTAATAATGTTATGCTTTCCTCTATTCCCCTAGATCCTAGAACTTTGTTGGCTGCTTCTTTTTCTACATTGCCCCTTCATGTTTTTAGTGTAACCTGTTTCAATGATGACATTCGTTCTTACTTGATTAGTGTTTAAGTTGTGGATCCTTCGCTATGCCGATTTCTAGTCTCTTCTGGGGTCTTTTAGTATTAAGGTTATAAGGTTTTACCGCTAAAACTGCTTGAACAGTTTATCTGTATGAAGCTCTAGTACTCTTACAACAAGAAGAAAAAAGAAAGTTAAGAATGAAACATATAACAGGTCTGGTCACAAGGGAAGGTGGAATGATTCAAGTAACCAGCTATAAAGTTAAATGTATTACTAAAAATACCAAAATATCTATACATTTAAAATGGGACAAAGACTTCCAAGCAGCCAACAAATATCCCAAAGAGTTCTTTGGGAAAGAAGGTGAAAAACAAGAAACAAAAAAGAGGCTACTGATTTTCAAGATTATTTGGGAATATACCTATCTTATCTCATTTGATGATGATTAATTGATGAAGGTGTTGCTAGAGTTTGGTGTTCTTTGAAGGCTAACAAGAGAGTAGTAAATTCCACTAGGCCCTTTAGCTAACAAAGAAGAGTGAGTCCCTTTCTCCACAATTTTGCCTTTGTCCAGTACAGCAATGGTGTCACAATTCTGTATAGTACTTAGCCTGTGAGCCACCACCACACTTGTTCGGCCAACCATCACTCTCTCAAGTGCATCTTGTACTACTTTCTCAGATTGACTGTCCAATGCACTTGTTGCCTCGTCCAACAACAGCACCCCTGGATTTTTCAGTATTGCGCGTGCTATCGCTATTCTCTGTTTTTGGCCACCTGACAACTGCAGCCCCCTGTCCCCGCACCAAGTCTCATATCCATCTTTTAGTGCTGAGATGAAATCGTGGGCGTTTGCTGCCTTCGCGGCCTCAATTACTTCTGATTCATCCACTTCTTCTGATGCTCCATAGGCTATGTTTTGCCTTATGGTTCCTGCAAATAATGTTGGTTCTTGACTTACAAGTGCAATGTGTTTCCTCAATGATCTCAAGTCGTATGATCTTATGTCACGGCCATCTATTTTCACTAAGCCACTTGAGGGATCATAGAATCTTTCTATTAGACCAATTATAGTGGACTTTCCTGATCCACTTTGTCCTACCAATGCTGTTGATTTTCCTGCTTCAATTTTTATTGAGAACCCCTTGAAGATAATCACATTGGGCCTAGCAGGGTATGCGAAATCCACATCACACAGCTCAACATTGCCAATTAGTTTCTTGGGCTTGTAACCTTCTGAATCCTCTGGCTCGATTAAGGAATACCGATCCAACACTGAAAAGACCGACCCAACTGCATCGGCACCTTTGGCAAGGTCGTTAGTCATTGTTCCAGCATCCGCAATGACACGCCCAGTGCTAACTAAAATCATGAAGGTTTGGAAGAGTGCCTTTGCTCCAATTTCCCCTGCTGCCATGAGTTTGCCACCGTACCAGAAATCAAGAGCCCAAGTACAGGTCATGAGACTGTTGGAAGTTCCCAGCCCGATTCCAGCAAACCACGACTGGCGTATACTTTCTCGTTGTGGACCTTCTTGGGCTTTCTTGAGCATTTGAAGGATTCGGGCCTGGGAGGAGAAGGCTGTTACAGTTCTGAGATTGGAAACTGCTTCAGCTGCCAACTTGCTGCTTTCTTCTTGTGCCTTTATGGATTTCTTAGACATGCTTTTCAATAGCACTCTCTTGCAATAGTAGCACACTATGATGAGAGGTTGCACTGCGATCATAACCAATGCAAGTTTCCACGCGATAACTAGGCCCATGGTGCAAGCAATGGTCACCGCCGAGATTGTTTGAATGAGTAGTGCCATCCTGTCCCCAACCAAAGACCTCACCTGTACATTTATAAAAGCAGCAAGTGTTATCTTCCACGAATTATGTTAATTAGATTGTTGTTGCTTTAAGTGTTAATAGTACTAGAGGACTTACCACATTGGCATCCTTGGCTAGTCTAGAGCAAACAGCACCAGTGGAATTCTCGTCTTTGTCATACCACCCAATTTCAAAAGTAAGCATCTTGGACAACATCCTTTCCCTGACCCTTTTAGTCAATTGCTCTCCCATGGCTGCAAAATTATAGTGCTGAAGTACATTGACAATAAGGGAAAAGAATGCCAGCCCGAGGAAACACAGAGCATATATCTTAGTCTTCTCCTTAATCACATCATGACTAGGCAAGAAATAGACAGAAATCATTGACCCCATTGCAAAAGCATACACTGGTTGAACTCCACCAAATAATATTGCTCCTATACATCCCAATGTTGCTTCTTTCCATTCTGGTAAATTCATAGCCAGCAGCCTTTTAAATGAAGGTACAGGAAATACTTGTTCTGTAGTACTGGAAATTGTTGCATTTTGATCCACTCTACGGCTTTGCGCAGCTGAGTTTGCTGAACTTGACCGGTTTACAATCGAAAGCCTTCGGCTACTTGTATTTTGTATGTCATAGTCAGAGGCCAATTCAAGATTTAAATTTGATGGGGCAAAGACAATGCTTTTATTGGTAGGTGCAACGTAAAATTCTTCACTTGGTTTTTCAGTTTGTTGGAGACGGACTAAGGAGGTGTATAGTCCGTTTTCCTCTTCAATTAGGTCATCGTGTGAGCCAATTTCCTTGATCTGACCGTCTTGGACCACGGCTATAAGGTCAGCATTGCGAATAGTGGAGAGACGATGGGCTATGATGATTGTGGTGCGGCCAACAGCGGCCATGTCTAGAGCTTCCTGCACAACACGCTCTGATTCAGAGTCAAGTGCACTGGTTGCCTCGTCTAGGAGGAGTATTCTGGGCGATTTGATTGTGGCTCTTGCTATGGCTATCCTCTGCTTCTGCCCACCTGACATTTGTACACCTCTCTCCCCCACCTGTATGCATGTTTGTTCTCCATGTTAAATCTCAGGTTTTTAAGTGGTGAAAAATGATAACTTTCAAGATTCAAAATGATAATTCTCAAGTGTATATGTTATATCGTACAAAACATAGAGGGACATTTTGTATACCTGCATGTAATATTGATTTCTACAAGTTTGAAAATTTCCAGGCATAAACTAAATTATATAGAAGTGCAACGGATTTGATTTTTGATATGTTATTTAACAATATATCTCTTGTTTCATTGAATAGATTTTTTGTTACATTTTTATATGGCAGATGTTTGACTGGACATAATATATATTAAAAATAGGCATACCAAAAGTAGCCTTAGAACTTGTGATCATGACTAGGGCTGGGCATATATCTTGTATAACAGATAGCCCGAATCGATAAAGGCTTATTGGGGTATCGATATCGGGTAATCGAGTTAATGATTCGGTAATGATTTTGTATTTTTTCACTATTGAGTTATCGGATCGGGCCCCGGGTTGCCCAATTTCTTAACGGGTTAGCCGATAACCCAATATCGATTTAATAAAATTAGGATTTTACCCAATTTCTAGGGCTTCATTCTCTCTTTTTTTCCTAATTTTCCCAGCCACATTCAAGATTGAAGTTTCCATGTTCACTCTTCAGACTCTGATTCAATTTTTGAACAGTTCTTCTTCAAATTTCAATGTACAACCACATTCTTAGAATCTTAGCGTAAATTTGTATTCCAAAATTACTTCTTTGTTAAGAGCAAATTTCGTTCCTTTCTTTTGAGTTTTACAGTAGAGTTCGATAATAAAAATATAGGATTTTTGATTGTTTTCGATTCTTTATTTTGTGCTCATGTTTTAGTACTATGTTTGTACCTTTTAATTTTAAGGTGAAATTGCTACTACTTTGTATTTTTATTAATGTATTTGGATCGTTGAAGAATTAACACTATTTCAGTTGTGTTTGGACAATTTTTGAATTACTAGTACTCTTATGGCTCTTGCTACCCTTGAAATGATCATGAATTTAAACTTTAATTTTGCTTGTAAATTATATAATAGGTAAATAGAAGGACACTAAAACAATAGTAGAAATGTCAATTTGATGAAAAAAAAATCATATCAAATAATCTATGTCTATATTATATTAAAAGTATGAAGGCTCTTAGCGAAATGTCGTTCGTCATTTTTGTCTTTTAAAAAAGATTTCACACTAGACAAAATTATCATTTACCTATTTTTCCTAATATTTAAGACTTTGAAATAAAACAAAACATTATTTATTATAACTTTCCATATTTGAATTATTATGTAGGAAGCCCTAATATTTAAGACATTAAAATTAACTAAATTTCTTCTGTGTATAAATTAAAGTTCTAATTTAGGACAAAATATATAAACTAAATTACGTTGCAATACTTTTACAAACTCAAAATTTTACCAAAACATTAGACTTGGATTCAAAGCCATAAAAGAAAAATATTGAACAACTACTATAATATTTGAAGAAAAGAGGTATGACTATTGATACTTCTAAAAGTAAAGCTAAATGAGGAATTTGTAATTTAATTATTAACTTAATACTTAGAATTTTAAAATTATCTAAAATTTAGTTATTAAATTTTTTCGTATATGAATAATAGTCCTAATAATCGACTACAATTTTTACCTTGTGTAAATTCCTTTTGTAATTTGAACTAGGTAACATATAACTTATATGTACATTGATATTTAAAATTGAGATACAATTATTCATACATCTCCATCAAGTATGCAAAATTACAATGGCATTAAAATAAATAAATTAGAAGCAACAGT